GAGGCCGCGTCCCACATACAGCAACTAGAAGGATGTGCAGCTATGACACACAGCTATCTACTGGGGCTTTGGGGGGAAAAATAAATAAATAAAATCTTAAAAAAAAAAAAGTGGTTGCACCATTTAAAAAAAAAATATATGTTGTGATTTTTTTACTTCAGAATAAAGTTTTCTAAAGGGAAACCAGCTGCCATGATCCTTAGCAGGTGCAAAGAGTTGACGAGAGCAGGCAGCCAGGAGTAAAGGATGACTAGAGGCCATCCCCTTCCCGAACCGCAGCCTGCTTAGAACTCAGCTCGGAGATGCTCAGCGTGATGTATGTCCGAATGTTCTGAGTGGCATTCAGGAGAATTTCTGTGGACATCAGATCCTTTAAGAGATGAAGTATGGTTTCTCATGTGCTTTGCTGACTTGGACAGGCAAAGAGAGCTAAGCCAAGAGCCCAGTGGCATCTCTTTTTGGAGAGCCAGGCTGATGGCTCCTGAGAGAAGAGCACCCTACAAGAGAAAGGTCACCCAGCATGGACCTTAGTGAAGGAATACTTGTTAAAGCCTTTTATCTTGCTTTGTCTTCTCTTTTCTCTCCCTCACCCTCTCCTTTCTCTTCTGTCTCTTATACGCAGGTTCTAAGTAAAAACACTCTGGGTTTAGGACCCTGTCAGTTAATTAATTAATGCCTTGGTACCTCAGGCTCTGCAACCCGTCAAAAGTTGGAGGACCCAAGTTGCTTCAAGAAACAAAGAGACTAGTGTGGTTTTTCATTGCTGTTATCATATCAGGTTGTACAGATGGTTCTCGAATGTGTGCTTCCGGAGCCCAAGCACCCACTTTGCTTTCTGAAGAGAAGGCATGCTTTCCTTGATTTCTGGGACCTGGCGTTATGGTAAACACAAACAGAAAGTTATCCTGAACTTGGTCATCAAGAAATTCCAGGAGACTCAAAGAACTTCTCGCTGGTCTGTTTCTTGCCTCTACATCTAGATTGTAATCACTGTGAGGGCAGGAACCATTTCTATAGAAAGTCAGACATTTCTTAGTACACTCTCCAAACAGAGCTAATGTGGCAGTGGATGTTTTCCTATTCGGATCTGTAACTCCAGGTTAGTTAAGAGGCTTGTCTGGGAAGCACCTAAAGATTCCAGAATTTTACAGAAAGTTGAAAGGGCAACTTTCAATTCCAGTGGGTCTCTGTTGGAAGATTGGAACACGGCATACTCACTTTGCTCTGAGAAAGGTTGCCACGCCTTGATTTGCGCTGGTTGATAGAGCAACGGGTAGGACAGGTGCAGGAGTGCCCTCCACTTTGTAACGGGGAGCCCACCCATATGTCTCCACAGGCTCCCTGGCACCAGCCTTGAGCTCAAGTGCTAAAAGTGAATGGATGAAACAGGCCAAGTTCACAGTAGAGAGTGGCAGGGACTGTGGTGAACCAGAGTGGGCATGTCCCATCCAGTGAGGGCAGTGGCTACGCATTGATGCTGGGAGGGTGGAGCCCAGGGTGGCGACATGATCCAGTTGTCAAGAGAAGCCAGGAATCCGGATATTCCACAAAGTGTCTTGATTTCTAAACCTCGGCAACTAATTTTTAAAAATAAAATTTTAAACACTGTGGGCCAGACTAAACTTCTGGGCTAAACTATCAGGCCAGTTGGGAAATGGTACGCTAAAAGAACCCCGCTCTTCTCAGAGCCCCAGGCCTCTGAAAAGGACACCTTCCCTGTTGAATTTAGGAAGTAGGGTCTGCCTACAGCAGGGTGCACATTTATCTTGGACACAACTTGCTAACCCTTAACTGTCCTTCATATATGGGGGGATAGAGGAGACCAGAAGTTGAAAATCCCACAAAGAGCGTGCTCGATAAGATTTTAATTTGTCCCGAAAACAGATGGAGTTAATCTCCTGACTATTGTGCAAGACGTGGGGGCTAGTCAAAGTTCACAGGCTGGAGTTTGGGGGAGTGAATTCACTGCCTCTCACCACCACTCCCTTCTCCAGCCCTTACCACCTCTGACCTCCACCACACGTACACACCTCGACGTGCTTTTTCAAACTTATCCTTTAAATTACTTTGGCAGGAGATGCAAAGATAAGGAAACTCCCGACACAGATTTCCCTATTTTGTGTCAGGGTTTTACGAAAAACACACCAAGCCCCAGACCCTTCAATTCAATCCTCCCATCCCAAACTTAAAGCCGCCTTGCCTCTCTCTCTCCCTCTCTCCCTCCCTGCTCACCTAAATATTTCTTAATTGAACGGTTTGCTGTGGAGCTTCCTTATAGCAGTTTAATAGATTAACTCATCTGAGCCGGCCTCAAATTTCAGATTAAAATTCCTTCATCCCGAAGGCAGCATTATCAGGTTGTTGGAGGCTGTTTTCAAACCTTGGTTTTGAATAGCAGCGGCTCTGCATTAATTTAACCACTAAGCTAATAAGTAGGTTTCGTTTTGTTATGCTAAGCTTTATTGCTTTTCTTTTGATCAGAATGGTGTTGTTGAGCAAAGCAGCAGACAAGGCATTCTTTGATGAGGGAATTAGCGCTCCATTCTTCCTCTATTATTCATAGCGCAGTGGAATATGTAAGTACCTGAGGGTGTCAAAGGAGCGCAGGTTCTATTGCAAAGTGCTCGCCTTGTTTCTCTCAATAGCTGACTATGAGATGATAAACCGCTTAATACACTGTGCTAATTGGATGAGAGCAAAAAGAGATGGGAATTAAGGCGAGGCAAAAGGAGAAAGTGCAACCAGCCTTCAATTCACTCTTTCACCACTTTACCAGCGCCAAAGGAGGCACAAGCTTTCTATAAGCAGACTAGAGGTTTTGTGCAGAGATAAAATGAACGTGTTAGTGGATTCAAGTAATACACTAATTATTGCACAGTATAAATACCACTACTGGTTTTATAACAGGGAGGTAAACTTCTTTTGAGAGGGTTATAGGATTGCTTGGCAGTGGTGTAGAACCTAATAAGGGCCCAGAGTAATAACCCCCTGGATTAACAAAATTGCTGCTTGTAGAAGTATGATTCAGGCTTTTACGAAGATTTCCGGAGAATGAATAAAAATGACTGAATGACATTTCTTAATGTATAACTGGTAATCGCTCCCTTTTCTTTAAAGGAAAAAATGTATACTTCAAACTGGACCATTAATAACGTCCAGGGACAACACGACTTTTTCCTTTGAAAAATGCTTTTTCCCCATTAGGTAGCAGGGTTCCCCCCACCCCCACTCCAGCCAGGCTGCCACTGTCAGTTAAATATGCAGTTGCTCTGGGGAACTCGGTGTTCCAAAATACCATTTTAGGGCCCGTTTAAGACCCCCTTCATTCGGACACACTTTTGTGTATACACATACACACATGCTCACATACACATTTTTTTTCTCTAAAAGCAAGTTGAACTAACCCGTGTATAATTTCCTTTCTTCTAACATCAGCCCCTTTTTCCATTCTAGTAAGATCTCCGCACTCAAAACGATACGAAAAAGAGAACTACAGGCACCTTGTCTCTTGCTATTATAAATCAAAAACAACAATAATAAATGTTGGCCCCAATTGGGGAGGGGGGGAATAATAAGAGAAGAAAATGGGAAACTGGTCCGGGCCAATACGGGTGACTAGCTGAGGACTGAGTTTCAAGTCCCGAGTTGTCCCAAACCTTCTCTTCAGTAGTCACTCTCCCTAATTCATTCACTTTCTATCTTCCTCACCACAAACCTAAGATGTCCGCCCTAACTACTGTCCACAGTCCAAGCCATGGGTAGTTGGTGATGGAAGAACACTTAGGGACGCCTTCTGATACTATTATATTGACAACTGCTCCCTTCTTGCCTTGCCTTTCCGGGCCTCGTTCAGATCTGGCTAGTCTGTCTGAAAATGTAGCAAATTACCCCTTCCCCTCATCCTTCCCATAGAAGCACGGAGCGGGCTCCCAATCACCCCTCACCCCAAGATGCTGTAGTGGTGGCCCTGGGAAAGCAGGTGGTGGGGCATTTTGCCCTGGGTGTGAGGGGGGACAGCCATGTCCCTATCACAGGGGCTCTCCCAAACTCCCCCGGGCTCCGCATGTCCTCCTCCATGCTGGAAGAGGTTTGCTTAAGGTTGGGGGGAGGGGGACAGCCGCTCCCAGCATTGTGACTGAGTTCCCAGATATTGGGGCCAAATTGGGTTGCCATTCATTAATAATGCTCACAATAAGATTAAATCATTCTGGAAAATCTCATAAAATCCCCCTAAGTACGCTCCAGTGGCTCTTTCCAATCCCCATCATTCAGCACTTGGGGAGGTTTGGAAGGAGAAGAAAATTGGTTTCTTTGCTTTTAATGCTGCTTTGAAAAGATACTCAGAGTTTGTCATGCGTGACATGTCACATGTTTAATGTGGACTTGCTGGAAGTCAGGGGGTCTTTAGCGTGTGATATTTATGGTGAATATTAAATGCAGAATGAGGTCCCTCCAGCTGGGGAAAGTTGAAAGAATAGGAGGCCCAAGACCGGACTTGTTTGCGGCATCAGAATGACACAGGATTAAGAGTTTGTAAAACAAGGCGAGGGGTTCTCATTGGCCAGTAATAAATGTAATCCTTGGAGGTAATTTCACGCAATTTGCTTCTGCTCCATGGAAGGGTCAAATGGGAAAAAATGACTTAAAAAAGAGTTCATTAACAGGAAGAATGGTACTGTTTCTCGTATACCATCCAATTGGCAGCCTGGAGGGGAAAAAAAAAAGCCCTACCTAAACAAAAAGCCAAAATCGACGGAAAATTGATATTGACCAAAAAAAAAAAAAAGTCCTTTCCCTCACACTCCTCCTGCATTCCGCCGTCCCCACCTCAAACTCCCCAGTAGGCCTGCCACCCCAGGAAAGCGGCCTTCACCCCAGGAGACCGTGTGGAATCTGGAGGTTTGAGACACTCAGATCTCGGGGGATGTCCTAGAAAGTTCCTGCCAGGCCTACTAAACTCGAGAAAGGCGAGTGTGGCGGGAATGGCAGAGGAAAGGGAGTTGGCGGCCTGCTCCCCGTGCCCCAGGCGGGGGCCCCTGCTTGCGAGCGCGCCCTCGCGAGTCCAGGGAGGGGGCAGCGGGGCCGGGACCCACCCGACGGCCAAGGTCCGGGGAGCGGCCTCGACCCGCGAGCCCCGTCGGCGCACTCCCAAAGGTTCCCAGCGGGCGCGGGCCCCCGATTTCTGAGCTGAGTGGGCGAACCGAGGACCCCCGGGCCTTGAGCGCAGCAGCTGCCGAGCCGATTGCCCACCCCCAAGCCGCCGCTGACCTCAGCCCGACCCCGCACCTGCCCCCGGCCGCGCAT